AATCTCGCATTTAGCGATTGAGGGACAACATGAAAACTATCTATCCTACTGTGTTCAATAATTCAGAATTGAAAAAAGAATTAGATAGATTACACTATCAGTATGTACTGGTCCCAGCAGACAAAGCAAATAACAACATTGTTTGTAAGGCTCATTATTTTAATTGTATCTTTGAAGAACTGGGATTTAATTCCACAAGTGGCAATCCAACTTATACCCATAGCTTCCCTTCTAAGGAGGAAATTCTTTAAAATCGTATATCAGTTCTGAATATTTTTAATATTCCCAACAATCAAAATGAATTTGAATTATTATTTATATTGATTTCGGAAATTTCATAAAACTCTTTACAAACAAAGATTCATAGCGGGTTCCAGTAAATGTTGAACCAAGCTTCTTTCTTTACTCCTCACTGAAATATTAACAATAGTGAAGGAGAAAGCTCAGGAGTACTGTTCTGTTCTATTCGGGAAGTGATGTAAATCAGATGTGGATACTTTAAAATACCAAGGAACTTTTGGAAAATTTGAAATCACAAAATTTTACTAAAATCAATAACATAAAAACTTTTCAACTCTGTATACAACCATTCCCCACGAGTCCAGGCTGATTGGTATCATTGACAGCTTTTTTTCAATAAAAATAGAACTCGTAAATTTACTTACCTAGGTATTGGGCATTTGCAAAATTATTTTGTTAAAAACATTCTTATTGTACACACACGTACTCGGAAGTTGATATTAAAAAGTTGTTTGAGTTTCTGATTGACAATATCTATGTCGTTTTTGGAGACCAGGTCTTTCAAAAATCTGTTGGAAATCTGTTGTACCATTTGTGCCCTGTTGTTAGCAGACCTATTTTTGTATTCATATGAAGCAGAATTTATTCAAAATCGTATACATGAAAAAAGAAAACTCTTGCTGTAGCCTTCAACTCGACATTTAGATATATCGACGACGCAATATTAATTAACAATAGTAAGTTTCATTCATATGTCGACACAATATATCACAGTAAACTTGAAATAAAAGATACCACAGAGACTGACATATTTGTTTCATATTTGGATGTTTTACTTTAAAAAGTCGTTAATGGTAATCTAACAACAAAGCTTTATGATAAACCGTGATGATTTTAACTTTTCAATCGTCATCTTCCCTTACTTACACAGCAATATACCCTTATCATCTCCATATGGGGTGTATATATCTCAGTTGATTCGATACGGAAGAGCATGCTCTACGTATGAACAATTTCTAAAACGAGGTAAGTTATTGACAAATAAGTTGATGAAACAAGAATATCAGCAGTCTCGTTTAAAGTCATCATTTCGTAAGTTCTATGGTCGATACAATGACCATGTCAGCAAATACAATCTATCATTAAGTCAAATGCTGACTGACGTTTTTCATACTTGGCCATTATTTACACACTGAATTGTCGACGGATTTTCCCGTTATTTCCTGATCATGAGAAGGAGCACACGGCGGGTGTAACCGGTTGGCAGGGGATAATCACTCCTCCATGGTACCTGATCCCACCTCTGACATTTTAGAAGGTTTTGTTTCCTCTGCTCCTGATTTGTATTGTTTAATGGACATTTGCACTTGAATACTGTTCGTTATCTCCATATATTTCATTTCACCAACATAAATAAACCCACAAAGAATACATTCTATTCTGTAGACAACATTAGAAGATTTGGAATTCAGATTTCCCCAAGTTTTGGTATAGAAGCTCTGTCTAGTAAACAAAGAGCTAGTACCGTAATCAAAATATCATTGGTTTTACAGTTTTTGACACATATCAAATGGAAAATTCTTTATTGTATACGTACAGAAGTCTATATCCATTTACTTCTAAATATCGACGCAAAACCTGCCATGGGAGTATGATGATACATCTAAAATAAACCAGATTTTCTTCATTTTACCGAATATTCGAATATATTCGAATACTTTCATTGAGTATTCGAATATGAATTATTGACAAAATTGACATCCCTAATTATCAGATATGAAATTAAAACTGAGTTTTTTCAGATACGAAATTTAAACCGAGTTCTTCAAGGAGAAAATTGTTATAATGAGCCTTACAAACAAAGACTACATTGTTACAAGCTTTGTCAGCTGGAACCAAAAACATATTTTTCATGTAGTCTTCCTAATTTCTTTTATCACTTCAGGTCTACTGGAAACGGAGGGATAGATAATTCGCACTTTGCCCTTTAGCCGAGATGAATGATTTATTCCTAAGCAAATGAATGTGTGAACATCACTCTAAAGGTTTTCCTAAGTTTATTCCATTAAGAAGTACAAAAATTCCATTTTTGGTATTCAACATCTTAAATTATGATCTATCGAAAATTTCTTCTTAAAACATGGGGAAAAAAAATAAGGTAGTCAAAGTCCTTTGGGGATTGAGGGGGAAACCTTTTTTTAAATATATATTTATTTATTTAGAATTTTGGAGGTTTTGATGAAAAAAAGAGGTAAAGGCTAGTATAATTTTAATCCTACATCTTATCAAATGACTGCACAACAATGAATTACATGGATGACATTTTTGTTTGCACAATTTCCTCTCTACACGTAAATCAGAAATGATGGATAGTAAAATAAATTCCTCCATACTACAGTATGACAGTAATGACATCACATGACAGCTTTATCTCTAATTATCTGAATCAGTACAACTTAAATAAATGCAACTTTTTAATAGATGAAATATTGCTGGAAAACTGCAGTCACAGGTAGGCACGGCATGTTGACAACAGGAAACCCAGCTTGGGAACCTAAAGGTTGAGCACACACACACACACACAAATATATATATATTTATCCCATGTTTACCCCTTTATCCCGTGGATGTGACTCATTGGATAATATTTTCATATTCCACAGTTAAGTGCAGTTGTGACGTCACAATGGTTTTAGCGTAAGCGTGATGAAGTAAAATAAAGTGGAGTCCTATATATAAAACAGTGTAAAACATTAAACATGGGATAAATAGAATCTCCCATGAATTGTAGTTGGATATGACTTTTATCCAACTCGTTGTGTGTTTTTATAAAAAACACACAACTCGTTGGATAAAAATCATATCCAACTACAAAACATGGGAGATCCTATATATATATATATATATATATATATATATATATATATATATATATATATATATATATATATATATAAAACATTTATAACATATATCTATCTTTGTATATCTATCTATGAATTTTATGTATCATAATAGCAATTAACCCTGCATTCAGTGCTGATCGGTAAATTTTCGTCCTGAATTAAATCACACTGTATTGTTCTTAATTAGTTAAATAATTGTGGATCATTAAATTCGCTAATGTTATTTTTAGCCTAATTTCACCTTTCAAACATAATATTCCAGCAAACAAGAGTTTTCTCTCTTTTCATACATTAGCGTTGCCCTTAATGAGAAAAAAATACCTTGCATCTGCATCATTCATGGTGTGATTCCGCCAAACTCTACAATTTTACTTGCCAAAGCCAAGCCAAATTCCACTGGATACTGTTACAGTGTTTAACATTAGCAATGTTGAGGAGATGAGGATGATTATTTTTTCATATGTGTTTTCTCTCTGTCGTCAGAGATAGGATGGATTTCGGTGCAGTACTAGCAAGATAAATTGATCATGAAATTTGCTGATTTAATTTGTTTATTGAAAGCATACCGTAAAGTTCTGCTGTTGAGATGCTGAAGGAAGAAAAAATATTCAACCACAATCTGTCAGAAAATCTTATTGAATATTCTTCATCATATGAAAATCTTTTTCGATATCTTGGGATATCTAGTAAACGATAAAAATGTATTTAAAAAAATACAAATGTAGAGAAACGAAGGATTTTTAACACTACATGAAGTTATGTCCAGACAAAGAGAACAATTTGAAAACAAATGAGAGAACATTTTGACAACAAGTGCGTTAATACAAAAAATGACAGACTCTCTGATTTTTGTTTTGTTGTTGTTTTTTTCATAAATTTTAAATTTTATATTCATGTGTGAATGAGTTACAGGGATTGCACAACAGTAATCTATATTACATTTATCTTATGAATATATCATCAACTATGTTAAGGAAGAGCCAAGTGGGAAATATGATCTTAGTACCTTCTTAAAATATATAACTTTCAATAATATCTGTATCAAAGTAACTGTATAAATGTAGGAAAGATAATACATATATCCATAATGAATGGGTTTGTATCATACTTAGTACCTGTTACATCGCATGTATCAGCTGTGTGTCACGTGACTGGTAAAGAATTGGTAAGTTGAATGTAGAAAAAGACACAAGTGCAAGGGAATACGCATGTTTATTGACTTAAAAATTGATATGCATTAAAAGAGGTTATCATCGTCTACCTGAAAAGTGCTGGGAGTTAGTCTGTGTTGTTTCGGAAGTACTCGTTATTTTGCCGAAAATGCGTGCAATAGCTGAAAATCCGTACCACGTTTAAATTTTATTATGAATAAAAGTAATATTATGCAGACAAGAATCAGCTCCCAGCACTTTTTAAAATATACATATGTGGTATAGTGTAAATATTTGAAAAGTGTATATAGTTTTAGTATTTTAGGATTTTGAGTTTATTTGATATGTTTAGTAATATTATCTACAAAATAATTTTGATATTATTATTTACAGGAAATTTATTTAATTTAACTTAATATTTATATTTCAGCAAATTATTATTTATTTAATGTATATTATACTTTAGAAGATACAATTATTTAGGAATTACTTTAGTATAAATAAATATAAGTTCCCCTTATTGTAATAAACTTTGAGAGGTCAGTGACCTATGAAATAACCCATCAGTGAGATTTCATTGGTCGAGGTTTTTGGAGGGAAATCTCTTTGTGGGCAGTTTATTTTTGGTTAGAACTGGTCATACCAGTCTTTGTGTTCAAACTGACAGGATGTCTTGATGTTCCTGATTTCATACGTTTTGGGGTGTAGCAGTTTATTTTCTTTGATTGTTCAATTCCAGAATTTCAGGTCTGTTCTTAATATTATTTTCATGTATGATTGTGATTTTGTATGTTTATGTGAAAGTGAATGAAAAAGGTGTTTGAATGGTGAATGCAAGCTTGAGAGATTGTGTAAATGAGCAGTATAAATATTTTATCAGACATTTCACTCTAATTCAAGGATTAAATTATATATATGTAGGACTGAGTGAAATGAATAAATAAGTCTAAAGTTGTAAAACTATTTTTATCAATAACTTGTATAACTGTAATGTGATTAATAGTAAAATTAGGAATTTTATCTTCTGTTTCATATAATTTAAATAATTCTTTCAATTTAAAAGCCTAGGTACTTTTCATTAAATAAAGCAGTTATTATTATTAAAGATTTTTATAGCAGCAAAGGGAGATTACTCATTGTTATGCATTCCTTATAGGACTGTCACAGCTACATGATAGTATAACTTTCCATATGTACATCCAGACCTTTTGACCATATTAAAGGTAATTTATGTGTTTTATGTTTATGTGTTGTTCCATTATATGTATGTGTTGACAGAACTTATATTTGAGTATTTGTCATGCATGTCTATATTTTATGTTGAATTAAATTTCATGTGTGTTATGTCCAATGCATGAAATTGTATTTGTGTTAATGTTCAATATGAAATCATATAAGATTATTTGATTTAGAATTATTTAATATCAGATAATGATTTTGATAATTATCATGATTTTTTATTTTAAATGACTAAATTAATAAAGGAATTATTTTTTATGATAAATTGATCTGTGATAAAGAAGTGGTAATTATTTTTATATCAATTTAATTTAAAGAGAATATGAATTATAAAGTATGAGATTTATTATAATGATGATATACTATAATAGAGTTAAATGTGTATTTTTAGCTTGTCTAATAATTGTTATTGTTATTACAGGGTCTACTATATTATACTACTCTACTCTACTGTTACCATGGTTACTATTATTTAATAAAATACAACAATGAAGCAAGGATCAACTTCGTTTTTATTCAACGAACCCTATTAAACATGATTAGGCAGTTGATATTACATATTTCAGCTAAAACAGTCTAAGTCTTTGACCTTGCACTTTTGAGGTTAATTGGGAATACGCTTATCATGTAGTCGATCTTCTTCACATTTTTGTCGCTGTGTGGCTCCATAACGCCTAGATAAAATGATTATCTATATAATTTTTTTAAATAAATAAATTACTTCTAGTTTAATTCATTAGATCTAAAAATTGACTATGATTTCATATTTAATCAAGCATTTTTGTAATGATTATACCAATGGTTCCACTGCTCTGGATCACAAGTTAAGGCTAGTGACGTCATTTATGACACAAGATTTGCTTAGTACAAGGCAGTCCTGTTATCAAATGGCAAGATTTTGAATTCCTTAATAAATTATTGAAAAAATTAAATGTTTGCAAGTTGTTATTTACGCATCATTATGTAGTTTAATTGACTTTTGTCGCTTGTTGAATTTTTAATGACGTCAGAATGATATTTACCATAAGGTGCACAAAAATGTGAACTCAGGCCTTCCTTAATGTAGCTGAGATAGAATAAATGTCTCTGAAGAAGAAGAAAGGACGGAAGACCTTCTTGTTGCCATGGCAACAAGTTTCTAATTACTATTTTTATTACGCATAATCTCCAATGAAGAAGATCTTAAAGAAGCAAGATTTTGAAAACAGTAGTGGATGTTACTTGGTAGATAAGGTACAAGTCAACAGATTAGACACAAAGCAATTGTCTTTCACTTTTTTTGTCTTTATTTAAAAAAACATTTTTCTAAACATGACGTGTTGGTTTAGAGGTATAAAAACGGGAAAAATTACAAATACATACTTTGATATAATATGACATGTATTATACTACATCAAACTAAATGTTTTATGGGGGTTTTTTTTACAACAAACTACGATTTTTTTTTTATTTTTGATTAACGTTAATTTTATTCTTATTGACATAGATAACAGTTTTTTTTTTCGCTACATGATATACAATATAATGTATAAAAATGAGATTTCGTCGTACTAAGATATGGCAGTAATGTTATTAGAACCCTCTATACACTGCACACTAAGATATGATTCTGTGGTAGTTTTATTCAGTTAAGAGTAATCTGCCCTTTGATGTAACATAAAATAAATTGAAATATACAATGCATTACTTAACTTGTAATCAATTGAAGAATGCTTTACATTTTATCAGGCCGCGATAAAAAAAATGAACACTTCATTTGTATGTACATTCTTGAGGAAACAACATTGTTTTCTGTTCATCAGTACTTTGTTGTCTCTAAGCATTTTTTCTAGGGGTGAACGTCAGGTACCCTGTATTGAAAATTAAGCAGATAAGGTCAATATTTCCAAATTTATGCAATTAAATTTTCTCTACGCCTAAACAACTTTTTTTCCTAGAGTGTGCAGAGGGTCCTTAAATATCAGCTTTATCGCTAAATGTCTTAAATAAATCATCCTAAAAGAATTCGTCTTTACATCAGATGGAAAACTGTAGCCACAAGAAGACACAGCACGCTGACCACGGGAAGACCGGCTCCAGAACCTGAAGGTTAAGAACAGGTACATAAAAAATATATCTATATCTGCAAATATTATAACAGTTATCTCTAAAATGTGCAGTTAAGACTGATGGATATTTTTTCCGATCTCAATTAGGTCACGAGGTATAATTCTTTATTAGTATTAATCATGTTAATCGTATATAAATAATTAAAATCGCTACAATTCCTATAATATTTGATATTTATATCCTCAAAAATATCAATGCACCATCTCAAAAACTTTAAAATCTCGAAGCATGGGTTTCTAAGAATGTTTTGATTACTTTTATTTCTCCGATATTTCTCCCCTCCACAAAATGTTAAAATGAAGCTATTTTACGTTCATGTAGATATATAGGCTATCAAGAGATCTGAAAACAAGAGGCCCATGGGCCACAATGCTCACCTGAGTCAATATGGCCCTGCTGTTCTTCGTCAGCAGATTTCTTCTCCTATATTTCTCCTATATATTCATATATAAAGCTTTGATCGCCTGTTCTAGGCATACCCTACCCCAAGGTGCCATGTTTTGAATGAAATTGAATATAAACCTTCTGAGGATGCTTCTATCTTCAGATAACTAATCATGATTTTGCTGTTCTTTAAAACAGAATTTTATCTAACACCCTACCCGGGGGGGGGGGGGTCATTATTTGAACAAACTTGGTTGTACACTACCTGAGGATGCTTCCATATCAATATGACTGATCATGGCTTTGTTGTTCTTGAGATTGATGAAGATTTTTAAAGATATTTCCTGTATATGTTATATTGTAAAACTTTGATCCCCCATTATGGCCCCACCCTACCACTGGAGGATGTCTTAAACTAGCTTGAATCTACAATATTTGGGGAAGATTCCATATCAATATGACTAATTGTGGCTTTGTTGTTCTTGAGAAGAAGATTTTTAAAGATTTTCCCTATATATTCCTATGTTAAACTTTGATCCCCCATTGTGGCCCCACCCTTCTCCCGGGGGTCATGATTTGAACAAATTTGAAGCTACACTACTTGAAGATGATTCCATATCAATATGACTAATTGTGGCTCTGTTGTTCTTGAGAAGAAGATTTTTAAAGATTTTCCCTATATATTTCTATGTAAAACTTTGATCCCCCATTGTGGCCCCACCCTACCCCCGGGGGTCATGATTTGAACAAACTTGAATCTACACTACTTGAGGATGATTCCATATCAATATGACTAATTGTGACTCTGTTGTTCTTGAGAAGAAGATTTTTTTTCTATATATTCCTATACAAAACTTTGATCCCTCATTGTGGCCCCATCCTACCCCCGGGGGTCATGATTTGAACAAACTTGAATCTACACTACCTGAGGATGATTCCATATCAATATGACTAATTGTGGCTCTGTTGTTCTTGAGAAGAAGATTTTTAAAGATTTTCCCTATATATTCCTATCTAAAACTTTGATCCCCATTGTGGCCCCACCCTACCCCCGGGGCTAATGATTTGAACAAACTTGAATCTACACTACTTGAGGATGATTCCATATCAATATGACTAATTGTGACTCTGTTGTTCTTGAGAAGAAGATTTTTTTTCTATATATTCCTATACAAAACTTTGATCCCTCATTGTGGCCCCATCCTACCCCCGGGGGTCATGATTTGAACAAACTTGAATCTACACTACCTGAGGATGATTCCATATCAATATGACTAATTGTGGCTTTGTTGTTCTTGGGAAGAAGATTTTTAAAGAATTTTCCTATATATTCCTATGTAAAAATTTGATCCCCCATTGTAGCCCCACCCTACCCCCAGGGGTCATAATTTGAACAAATTTGAATCTACACTACCTGAGGATGATTCAATATCAATATGACTAATTGTGGCTTTGTTGTTCTTGAGAAGAAGATTTTTAAAGATTTTCCCAATATTTTCCTATGTAAAACTTTGATCCCCCATTGTGGCCCCACCCTACCCCCGGGGGTCATGATTTGAACAAACTTGAATCTACACTACCTGAGGATGATTCCATATCAATATGACTAATTGTGGCTCTGTTGTTCTTGAGAAGATTTTTAAAGATTTTCCCTATATATTCCTATGTAAAACTTTGATCCCCATTGTGGCCCCACCCTACCCCCGGGGCTAATGATTTGAACAAACTTGAATCTACACTACTTGAGGATGATTCCATATCAATATGACTAATTGTGACTCTGTTGTTCTTGAGAAGAAGATTTTTTTCCTATATATTCCTATGTAAAAATTTGATCCCCCATTGTAGCCCCACCCTACCCCCAGGGGTCATGATTTGAACAAACTTAAATCTACACTACCTGAGGATGATTCCATATCAATATGACTAATTGTGGCTTTGTTGTTCTTGAGAAGGAGATTATTAAAGATTTTCCCTATATATTCCTATGTATAACTTTGATCCCCCATTGTGGACCCACACTACCCCCGGGGGTCATGATTTGAACAAATTTGAATCTACACTATGTAATGAAGGTTTCACATAAGTATAAACTTTTCTGGCTCAATGGTTCTTGAGAAGAAGATTTTTAAAAGATGACACCAAATTTTCACCAATTCTTAATTATCTCCCCTTGGAAGAGGGAGTGGCCCTTCATTTGAACAAACTTGAATCCCCTTCACCCAAGGATGCTTTGTGGCAAGTTTAGTTGAAATTGGCCCAGTGGTTCTGGAGAAGAAGTCGAAAATGTGAAAAGTTTACAGACGGACGGACAGACGGACAGACAGACAGACAGACAGACAGACAGACGGACTACAGACAAAATGTGATCAGAAAAGCTCACTTGAGCTTTCAGCTCAGGTGAGCTAAAAAGGGAAAATTTCTGGAAATGCACCATTGTGATTTGATGTATCCACATGGATTTGAAGATGAGTGTGTCGAGTCATCTAGATTGATGCAGAAATTAAGGCCTTGAGACTAATCCTATCGATCACATTAAGATAATTGAAACACTCTGCCTAATGTCGATTTCGATGTCGGGAAGCAAATTTGGCAGACTCAATTGAGGTCTGTAATTCAAATAGACCCTTAAGCCTTGACATATGTTTTTAACATAAGACCAGCTAAGCTTCAACTGCATGTGGTTGCAACTATAATCTCTTAGTATATGAGATGAATTTAACATTTTTATACGGTACATATTTTGTCCTCATAATGCATTATGTTTATTATATGCTCACGACCAATTAAATTCCTACCCGTGACCCGAATCGAATAGGCGTCAATGGAGGGAAAACACTGTTCAATGATTTATTTCATATTATTAGTATGCAAACAATTTATAGAGTGTGTTTTGCGATGAATTTTCAGAAAATTATCAAATTAGCCCCTACTTTGGACCTGAACCCTTGAATAATAAAAATGATATTGAGAGATATAATTGCTTTTCATATTCTTCTATCATTTATTCTCTAGTTGCAGTTGCTTGTAAGTAAAGACAACTTTCAAAGACATCGTGTATATTTAATATACACTTCTAACCAGATCAGCTTTACTCTGGGACATGAGTCCTGAATTCCTGGTTTTGGTTATATAATTGTTCAATATAATCATATAAATAGCTTGCTTTTGATGGTTCGATTGGTCAGATTTCAAAGATTTTGAAAATTGGATAAACTACAGTGATAATTCATGCCCCATCGCACATTCTTATGCAAGGCGGGGGTAAGAAATTCCATTTTTTTCTTTTCCATTAAGAATAAAGGAACATGTATGAATATTTCAAAATTTGCAAATACAGTAAAAGTGAAAAAAAAAAAATGAATAAACATTATAAGATATGAACATGCATACTGAAAAAGTTAAACTTTGTTTCAATTAGTTTGGGGTTATAATCTCGCTTCAGTGTTACTCCTTGCAATATTTTGACCATATTAACAAATAGATAATTTTTTTGTATACATTTTAATTAAAATATAATATTAAATGATTTGCTTACAGCCATGATCTTTAAGTTGTTTCTGGGCACGTTCCAGCATATCCTTGCCAGTGCTAACATTGCACTCGTTCATTGCATTTTGAATGCAACTTATATAGGTAGATAATCCACTGTAAAAAAAACGTATTTGATATATCATTTGTACATAGTCAATGTATTAGATAAAAGATTTTATCAATGTGAGAATAAAAAAGATAATATCTATATACATATATTTTTTTAAAAATAGCTGTAGTGGGTTTTTTTGGTCAAGGATCTAATTATAAATTTAAAGATACCTGCACATCTTCTGTTTGTTGTTCTCGCTGCCACCAGTTGCAGGTCTACATTTAGAACTTTTGGATAAAAAACATTGAGCATCTTTACCTTGCGCTGCAACACCTAAATATAACAGAAATACCTTTCTTATTTTCGTTGACCATTATCTCGACGATGCCATCTCTAAATATTTCAAATATTTCTCTTTTCATTTCCTTCAAAATTTCTTTTTTTAATTTAAAATTTGGAATTACATCCAATTCACAAATAACTAGGGTTCTGTTGAGGGTTTAGGAGCTTATAAGGTTTACATGGTATGCAAATCGTGAAGATAACAATCAGTGATCATCTCAAAAATGCAGTAAACTTAATAGGACAAAACAACGGACCCCTGGAAACACCATAGGAGGGATCAGGGAGATTTCTTATCAAACATATGCCTTATACTTTTCCTTCCTCGTATTTCTTCATAGTAAGACCATATATCGAGTACCTTTCACCTATTAGCCAATCATTATTACATAAACTTCGATACTTGATCTCACTTGCATCCATGTTTAGTGCTCTAATGTCAGTATTTGCTTCTTATTCAGTTCTAAATGAAGTAATCAAATTTTCTTTTATTATTTCAAAAGTAATTATAGGTGAGAACTTTAATAAGTACCCTATATACATGAAACACTTTTGATAACAACACATTCATTCTCTCTCCTTCTTCTGTTTTGATTGTCAGATATTCATCTCATTTTTTAAAAGAGTGTATCTGAATATATTACCGCTAATTAAGTTTTGCTTATCTGCTGGCAAAAGCCTCCCTAACACCTTACTTTGCTTTGTTTCCTGTGAAGTGCTGAAAATGAATGATTTTCTTGGAATCTGAATGCAAAATTGATACATATTATGAATCCATTATTAAGACTTTGGTATTTCACAGTCTTCTGAATTTATTTTTACAAGTACTATTTCATTAATAAACATTTAACCAGGGTGTTTTTATTTAAATGCCTTCTCTCATTTCTCCTGAAATGTAAAAAATAGGTAACAGTGATCATGGTCAAAAGTCCAGGTAAACAATACAAATTGTGAGCTAAGCCAACTAGGACTTCTTAAAACAGAGGAAGGATCGGGTGCAATGGAGGAGTAAACATCCCCTGTCGACCGGTAACAAACGCAGGGTGCCCATGTCATGGTAAACTGGAAAATCCGTAGACAATTCAATGTGAAAATAATTGCCTACCAATGTGTATCAAAGGTCAGTAAAGATTCGATCTAAAGACAAATTGTGTTTTTAAACTAGGTCATTATATCGACCATAGATTTTGTTGAATTAAAACAAGATTATTGATATTATTGTATCTTCAACTTATTTGTCAATGACGTACCTCGATTTAAAATTGTTCGTATGTAGAACATGCTCTTGCGTATTGAATCAACTGAAGTTCTATTCAAAGAAAATATTTCCTAAAATTCTACTGAAGACAACAATTTTTCATTATGAAAAACACTCGATTGGGCTTTCAATTTTAGTAATTAGATTTAAAGAGAAAATTATAGGTGTTTTTTTTTTCTTTTGAAATTGTATATATCTCTAAAAATCCAATTACATATTTGTTAGACGTATTAATGAAAATGCAGGATTGGTTACTTTTTTTGTTTCCTTACAGTTTATCTAGCATTTTACAAAACTTGTTAGTTTTCTCTAGATGACTTTTTTATCCTCGAACAAAAAATATTTTTGTGCAATTACGCGACGTCGTCTGCTAGCGAAAATTTCATTTTCGCGAAAAAAAATGTTATAAAAGATTACGTACAACAATAACCAACATTCGTATAAATTATGTCTCCCTTAAAAATACCTAAACGCTATTAGAAAATAAAGTTCAGAAAAAAAATTTGTTATCTACAGTATTGAATATAAAGCACGATTACTTTAAAAAAAATAGTTCAATTTTTTAAATTTGAAATTTGTTATTGATTTGATAAATCTGTAGAGATATTTGAACGGCTATATGGTCTGTTAGTTCACAAACATGCAGTATCTCTGATTTTCTGTTCAGAAAATACATCAAGAAGAAGAACAGTGATCAATCTCAGAAAACCTACAAACCAAAACTATTGTGTGAACAGGGCATAAAACACGGACCCCTGAAAAAAAAAACAGAGGCGGGATAAAGTACCTACAAGGAGAAAACATCTCCAGTCGACCGGTTACACCCACCGTGAACTTAAGGTATTGATCAGGTAGGCGGAACATTCCGTAGTCAAATTTATATAAAAATAAAGGCCTAAGAATGGTATAAAACACGTCATCCATGAAACGAGTCAATGGTAGGTTATATTTGCCAACAATGTCATAATACAACCATAGAATTTACGAAATGCTGACTTTAAGTGAGGATGTTGAAATCCCTGTAACATCAACTTATCTGTAAGTAGAATGTCTCGATTTAAAACTTGATCGTTCTCAGACCATGCTCTTGAGTATCGAATAAATTCGGAGATGTAAACACAACATGCAGGTAATAGTAGAATATTACTATTACTACATAATCTGTATGGATATCGGCCTCCCGTTTTTCACTTCATACCAAAACGCAATCAAAACCGTATTTGATGTAAAAATGGACTCTGTTAACATGAAATATGAAAATACGGAATGAACTTTGAATTCTTAATATTCTGATGGAGAAATAAAATCCACATGCAGTTGATTATGTATTAGCTACGATAAATAAAGGAATTTGACGATAGAACAGTTGAAGTCATCACGTTTATCAATTTAGTTTGATAGTTTTTTTTCCAAATATCGGTATTTTTTCCTAAATGTGGTATGTTATATTTTTTTTTAATGAGAAAATTCTACGGAACTGTGTATAAAAATAATATGGAACCCCTACATCTTCCCATGCACACAAATTAAATGTCAATTATGCTGTATATCAGAACACAGTATAACTATGCTATTGCTTAGTCTTGTCATTTTTCACTGTTTGATAATTCCTAATACTGTAATGATAATCATACTTTCCTTAAATAAATATTGAAAAATATATTGTTTGTACATAATGTTATAACGCAAATTTAATAAACAGTACGGGATAACACTAAATAGAACTGCTTACAGGCATATCTCTTTGTTTACGTCTGTTTGATGAACATCATGTGTTTTAAAGCTGAAAGACTGACAGGTTTACATAAATCTCAAGTAGAACAAGTAGGAAAACAAGGAACACAATTCTTTAACAAGAAAAAAACCCTGATCGGATACAGTGCTTTTCATAAACAGACTTACCGTTTCGAATTTAGCGTGTTTATTAGTTTTACACAGGATATTCATTACTGTGAATTTGCATTTTTGACATAAATTAAATTTATTTTTATTTCTTTTTTTCATTGTAAAAGGATGTTAGAAGAGGAAAAAACTGGCAATATTTAACCTTAAGACTTAAAATTTTCCCTTTCTCAATATTTTTGAAATGCTCTTTGATAAAAAAAAAATATAGTTTGGGTAACACATTGAATTAATTGGTTGGTATTTGGCCTGCGATCAGACAGTGAGGCTGGAACTGACGTTGGAAGAGATATTTTGAATCACCCTTTATATCATGACTCTCTTGTGCCCACAAGTAATGTACGACTACGACCAAGCTGTAATCAATCTTACAATGACCGGCACACGACCCCATCCTGCCATCGTGCTTTCCCTAATAATCTGCGTTTTTATAACTTGACTATAATATGGGATGAAAAATGAAAATATCATACAATATGAAATGCAACACAGGTTAATTTGCTTTCAGATAAGAATCATATTTTCATTCAAATGCCCTCATAAAGTATTTAAATCCAATAAAATAAGAATACATTTTTACTGTCTGTATATATTTCATATTTGTTTGAATTATAAACTTGTTGTTACGTCGATGTAAATAAAGGTACAATTATTAATTTGATCAAATTGTAAAAGGTATCACCTATCTGCATTAACATCGGTAAGCATAGTTTTGAAACATAAGGCTAGGATAAATACTTAGCTGGACTAGCGAAAGTTGTGTTCTAATAGCTAAAGAATAATGCTGAATTCCATCTATGATAACATTTATGTTAACACAAACTTAAAAACCCAATATCGAATTGACGCTGGGTTTAAAAGAATACATATACAATTTATCATTATTTACTTTTCAATTAGTTTTTATAAACTTCTACAAATTATATATGGTTAAGAAGTCCTCAACAAAAATGTCAGTAAAACTCAATAATATGAATGTCTTACCGTTATAGGCAATGAATACAATGACCATAAAAAGTAACACATCGATATAAAACCTTCCGAAAAACGCCATTGTCTCCTCCTGGTGCGTGTCAGAAATAGGAAGAGCGCAAACTTAGCATAATATTTCAATACGGTAATCTTGCGTGGATTGGAGGATGCCAATCGTAACTACTCGGCCATTTCCGTAACCACAAATAAAATCTTTTTATCGGTTACGGAAAAGGGCGAGCGTCATCCGAATGGGAGGATGCATGCCCAGCATTACCCATGGTTCATTGTTTTTGAGGCTCTAAACAGGAGCTTCAAAAATGCAACATACTCATAACCTCTTTATAGCAAATAGCTACTCGATCATATAAAAAGTAGTAAATATAACATTTTTTTGAAATTTTTATTTCTTAGATTCAATGATTTAACATTTATATTTGGAAGCGGCGGTCAGTAAATGTATTTTGGTTACCTTTAAAAATTGTTATGTATAGATGTATATGTATAAAATCAACACTTCAGATATAATCATGGTTATGTTGTATCAATTTGTAAAACTCTTTGGTTTAATGAATGAACTTTCAACTTTTAAAGAGATTTAAGTTATGGTTTCACTCTGCTGTAAGTATCTGATGCTTATAAGCCAAGTATGCTTAAGACTTTGCTTTTTAAACAAGTTGATGATCATAACAGGAAAAAAAATCAAGTAACTTTTATCCCTCTGACATGAGAATAGATTACGGTGATGTTCTCATCATTGTCAAGCTTATATATGTTTAAAAAAAGTAAATTCTTTTCCCTCTGACATAATAGATAATGGTTTAATAACTTCATCATTGACAAACATGTTTAAAAATTGGTGTTGAATAATAAGCACATGCGTACGTATTTCCTTTTTCTCGGAACCATGGTATTACTTACCTTTTTATGTGACAGAAAAGACGAAATACTTCTTTATGGAGTCCAGTTCGCCAAAAACATTTAGTTACGTTGTAAACACGACTTTACAAAGTCCCGGTTTTTTTTTTTACCAAAATGCTTCAGACAAAAACCAAAAAAAGGGGGGGTTGACAAAGTAAATAAAAACTAAATGTAATGAAATAAAAAAAAAAAACAAATAAAACAACAACAAACAAACAGAAAACAATCCAAAAAGGCTAAAAGTTAAAATATAAATAAAAAAAAATAATAATAGAAGAAAATAAAAATCAAAAGAAAGGAAACAAAGAAACAAAAACAAAGCAAAAATAAATCACAACCAAAAAAATCAAACAAACAAAAAAGAACAGAAAACAATGCAAACCAAAGCATAAACAAAACAAAAACAAACAAAAAATGAACCAAATTTTAATTAATGTGCTTGCAATTTATTTCACCATACTTTTAAAATTGTAATTTATTTCACAATACTTATAAAAGTTTTTCCAAACTAAGAAAAATATTTCAGAACAATAAATCAACATTTCATTACGAAGTAAATGACATGTTTTATGATTAATTCTGTCTTGTATTTATCTGGAAAAATCAAGCTCGGTATAATAAAAGGGTTGTTGGATTTTAGCAATGAAACGACCTCATGTTTTGAACAATAAATCATTTATCACCTTCATTACTATTTTACCTGAATATTATAATGAAATGAGCCAAGAATGAAAGTAAAAATGCGCACAATACACACTGTTTATCGCATATTTATGATAAAATTTCATATATTATTAAGACAAATCAAGATTGAATAGTGTATCTTAAATAGTTTTGCGTTCACAAACACCATCTTTATCTAATGATTAACTTTCTCTACTGCGTCTATTTCGTGGATAGTTGTCTTTATAGGTCTTCTAACTAAAGAATTACGTGCACAGATAATCAAAGCAGTATGTTTTGATGCATAAAGTAGCTATTTTTTTGTGAAGAATAATTCGTTTTTATGTCAAATAGGTCGAAAAGTTTAGTCTTTATCCTTCTCATATTTGATTGAGCTTTTTCACAGAACATTGGTCCTTTAAACAGACAAGTTTGATAAGCCACCTACTTGATATCACTTAAATTTGAATCTCAGAAAAAAGTACACGAATAGTCAAATTGAAAACTAAAACTCAACTTCATGTACATTTTCCATCAGGAATTCCAATAGAATTCTTGTGGGAAGAATCAGAATACATTTGGATAAAATAATTTCCTTTTATTTATTTTTTATTGAAGAAGCAGTTATCTATAGTATCATAAAGTCATTTTTCAATTTATCATGCGGGTAGTTGTATAAATATATGTTCCATGCCCAGCGCAAGTAAGCAAACGGTTTTTCTAAAACTGGTGTTCCTTTTTATTTTTTTTTTAATTTTCAAGACACACGAGGCTTGCTGACTTGTTTCTTCCATAAACTTAAATAAACATGGCGCTAAAGAAGTTGTCTATTCCGTTAGTATGTACGTTCCCGGTAATATACCTCAATGATCCGTCGAAATGAAAGATACAAGGGAAAAATTCAAAGAATAAACATTTTATTGTAGATATTTACAAACAAATACTATATCTGCATGTCATCATAGGGATGAACTTGGAGAATAGACACTGCAAAAACAGCCAATTAGAATCGTTATAAGTATAAGCAACTAATAAGAATTGTCTCATCTGTTTTATAACATGTTGTGAACACTAAAAAAACCAACTACTTGGGAAAAATGAGTTAGTTCCCGAGGGTCTCTACAGCCCAGTAGCTAAATACTTTGGTACTAGCTTGAAAATACGGATATATATTCAGTTACTGTGGTAAAATTTTGAAATTTATTTCAAAATTAAGCATTTATTTATCTCCCTCATGCATAGCAATGATCCCTCAACGTATTTGGCTCTAGTCTTTGGCACTTTTTTTCAGCTCTTCAAAGTCTTTATTAATTTAATATTTCGGATTTCCAACGTTTCGGCATGAGCATTACTGAAGAGACATAATTTGTCGAAATGCGAATCTGGTGCATCAAAATTGGTACTGTATAATTATGATTTCCATTATGATCCCTCGGTCGAAGCCTCTGTTGGTGGACTGTTAGTCCCCGAGGGTCTCTACAGCCCAGTAGCTAAGAACTTCGGTACTAGCTTGAAAATACGGGTATATATTGAATTGCTGTTGTAAAATTTTGAAATTTATCTCAAAATTAAGGATTATCTCCCTCATGCATAGCTCTGATCCTTCGATGTATTTGGCCCTAGTCTATGGCACTCTTTTTTTGGCTCTTCAAAGTCTTTATTAATTAAATATTAAATATATTGAAGAGACATAATTTGTCGAAATGCACATTTGGTGCATCAAAATTGGTACCGTATATGATTTGAATGAAACACAGTTGATAATGGGAGAAAGAGTTGAGAATTCATATCTAATAATTTGGGTGATTTTCGAAATTTTTTATGATTTCAAATTTGCTTCAAGTTTTATAGAATTTCAGAAGCCACTTTTTGCTTAACACATTAGAAAGAACAGGGTATCTTTAAGTTTGGACCCTTCAAAAATGAATGACATGAGGTCCTCATATTTATCTATATTCACCTCACTTGTAATGACTGCCCAACAACATTTCCATTTCATTTACACAAATTTTAAATTAATAAGATTTCACTGTTTAGATTTTCATGACTCCTCCCCAGACTCAAATAATCTTCTCATTCTTTCTCTTCATTTAAAACAATTTCTCTATATGCAGATGTCATCAAATATTCTGTCCATTATAGTTATGCGGCAGTTATGCATATTGTTCAAGTGTGAATAGCATTAACCAATCAATATCGAAAGAGAGAAGACAGAAAGTATGTGGAGTTTTGTGACTTTTCCTAGCCTCAACTTCCTGGGAATAGAGTCCTAGTCATATTGATTTTGCCTTTCCGGTGATTCATTTTCAGAATTTGTCATACTACCCTCGTCTCATGCAGCCAAGGTCGAGCTTAATACAAAACAAATGTGAAAAAATGGAACACAGGTTATGTCCTGAATCTAGGGACACCGTCCATAGTTTTACTCTCCTTCTGCACCTATTTTAAATTTCTAAGTAAACATTCTGAATATTTTAAGAGAGAGAGAGAGAGAGGCTACTACTAATTACTTAAGCTGTTGCATGTGTTTACTTCTTTAATTAAATCTTTACATAATTGAAGATAGACATATTCAACACATTAGAAAGACAGTGGTTTGGAAAATTAAGAAGGAAATAACAAAAAAAAAAAATATGTGTGTGTGTTAGCATAGCTCACAAATACAATGTTGTCTAAATCCTAAAAGTCCATGTAAATTGAATAGCAATTTTATTTCCTGTAAGATTTTTTAAGTGTCATTTTCTTTATTTCTTTTGGGAAAAAAAGTTTTAAATATAATATACCTCAATGTTTTAACAAAACTGTAAAGTTAGTTTTGGATATAATATATCTTCTAGAGTATGAACGAAACTTTGTTAAGTTGAAAACATAACAATAGATTTTTTTTATTTTAGATGCTTACATGGTAATTGTTCATGATAAAATCATATCTAATAGAAAAAAAAAGATAGCAGCATAGCAGCATATATAGTTTACAAACTGAACAAGCATTCTGAAAGTATTGCATTAGCAGTACTAGTCCCCTACCGGCAAGTGTAATCTGGTTCCTGTTAAAAACTGAAAATGCCATAATTCCGTCAAAAATCACTGAAGCGGAACGAACTGCAAATCTGATCTATAACTAATCAAGGTAAAGTCACATATTAAAACTTAGCTCAATATCTGCAAGCGTTTTAGAAAAAAAATTGCAGAAAACCCTTAAAAATTTAAATGGTCGTTATTCCGACAAAAATCAATAAAGCAGAACGAAATGCAAGCTTGATCTGTAACTCATCACGATACACTCACATACCAAAAATCTGCTCAATATCTGCAAGCGTTTAGGAAAAAAGTGCGGAAAACCAAGTGGGACAGACTGACAGACAGCTAGACAGACAGAGGGACAGACAGACGGACGGACAGACGCAGAGGAAACCTATAGTCCCCTCCAGTTTCACCGGTAGGGGACTAATAAGAAAACATATGACATTACCAAGCAAAGAAAACCATGTAGTTTGTTTGTATTTTTTTTCAGATGTACAAATATGTATCTCTTTTGTAC